TAATAAATCAAATTCAACTCCCTAGTTCAAATTACTGATACCAGGCGATGTGAAAGGCAGAATGTTAATTGCAATTAATTTTTAATCTGAGATTTGCTTATGAAGCAAGATTATCGCAAACTACTGTACTGCTTGTGATGCAGTTTACATTTTTGGCTAATGGATAGAAATAGGACAGACTGGATTTGCTAAACTTGCTGAATATGCTGCAATGTAATACGGCCTCAGTTTGGCTTCACGCTTCATGTAAGTGCAACCCCCTGGGCAATCTGGTGAACGTAAGGACATGCATTCCATTGTCAGTGTTTCTGTTTATAAAAAAAACTTTGTAATATCAATATATTTAAAACGTTGAAGTTTTCGACCTAGTATTGGGTGTAGTTGGGCACAAAATATCTCACGAGTATTGGCACGAGTACAGTATATTTACAGCATATTTACACTGAGAGTAAATATATTTACAGTATACTTACACTAGTTATCACAAGGGTATGTGAAAGAAAGGCAACGTTCCTTGGATCAATTGTTGGTGGCGTCTGTCCGCCACGGTTATTTGTTTAATTGCATGACTCAAAAATTAATCTGCCCTGCGAATTTTAACCCAAGTAGGCACGTAAAATAAGTTGTTTAACCGAAGCAAAAAAACTGGAAATAGAATTAATTGTAAGGACATTTTTAAAAAAAAATGCATCTCTAACTGTAAAGAGATAAAGCTGGGAGTGTTACATGAAGAACAGACACTGTTATTCTTTAGCCCGTGTGTCCCAGTACTGATTCAGATTTATAGGAGCACATGTCCTTCCAGAGGATGGGCAGTTTTATTTTAATACCCTTTTTTTAAAAAAAACAAGCTGCAGGTATTCAGCGAATTGTTCCTTTGATGTGCGGTACTTAAGACTGAATTTATAGTCACCGTGTATACTAAATACGCGTGTCCCTTGTGACCAGTAGTGAAAATTCATATATCCGTTTTAAAAAGTACACTGTATTTACTGCAAACGCCACAGTGCATTTGAGTTCGAGGTCGATCGGATGGATCTCTGCTGTCACTAAATGATCCTGGGGAATGGAAATGTGGGGAGAAATACTTTCAAAATGGAGATTGAATTATGGAATTCAGGAGAATGTGATGCCAAGGAATGGGGCATGCCAGAATCTGCTCAGCACTGCTTACGTGGAAGATGACATTTGAGAGCCAAGTTAATTTATTCAGTCCCCCTAAGGCGAAAGTGAATACTTGATTGCCAGCAGCTAAACACATAGACCTGGACTGACACAACCACTGTTCAGTCCTATTACTAAGGCTTCATTGATTGCAAATGTTGGTTAGTGACAGGATTGTTTCTGACAGGAGGTTGTGGGTACGGTACTCAACCGGAAACTGATCAAAGGCTAGTTACAGAGTGAGCTCAATTGTTGTCAAATATCTCATCAAAATTCAATGCTGGGTGTAGTCTACTACTGAATGATGCATGGAAGCGTCATCCTCAGTAGAAATGCAATGGTGAAATCATTCTTACAATACTGTTTCAAATGTGGTCTAGACACAATCTTAGTGCACCGCAGGCCACCAACGTTTAATTCAATGTGTGTGTGTGTGTGTGTGTGTGTGTGTGCGTGAGAGAGGCAGAGAAATGAGCTCTGCCGTGTAATGCTCTTAGGCTGAGCTATATTTTTTTGTCGCTATTTCTGGTGCATGGCTGTTGGCATTTCACGTCTCAGCTTTTCACTCCCGGTGACAATTGAAGTCGCTGAGATTGCTAAACAAGTATCCCGAACAGCAGCTGCAAAGAGCTTCCCATGTGATCCAGGCTGGAACATCCTGCTGATCCATACCTCACGGCGCGGAGAGCATGTGTGAAATAAATGAACTGGCACACACAAACAATCTCCCATGAGCAATTCGGAGTTCTGAATCTATTTATGTACAGACAGGCACTCCAGCAATGCTCACTTGTTTGTTTCTGTCATGTGGAAACCGATTCAATTTATATAGAAAAATGCAGAAATTATCAGCAACCTGTGACATCCCGAATACTGAAACATGGGCTCAATCATGTCACGGTCAAATGATCATTGTGATGATTAGAAGGCGACTGATCGCTGTGATTAAAGTTTTCATTACTATAACGATTGGCAGCGACCGCAGGTCATCCGTCTTTTTACAGCGAGCTGGATTTTTATACACTGCTCCCCCCTCAGCACCGCGTGGATCATATACAGCACATCACCACCCTTGGTGCAAAGTGAAATATTTATGCCCCCCTCACTGAATTGGGTAAGAAATCCAGGAATGGCTCTTGTTATTTGTAGCTCCGGGGAGGGTATGCTGTGCATAACTGAATGTTGCACCTTTAAAACCCCACACAATTTAGCTATAATATTGAGAATACACAAAAAATAAGCAAGCTTTTACTAATCTCCTTTGGAGACAGGTGCAGTATTCAGGGGTATAAAGGGATGAGTGGACCTTTCTATAATTTGGTGCATTTTGAGATCAGCTGATCCGATATACTCTAGATAGAACCCCATTACAGACTGCCAGGTACACCGAGTAAAACCTCAATTTTTGATTCAGCTAAAATAAGCGTAAACCACAGAAATGTATTAGAAAGCCTTCAGTGCCCAAACAATCTGCAACTCAAAGGGGGAGAAATCATTGATTCTGCAAACTGTGAAGCGTGTAATTACAACGGCCAGTGTTGGCACTGCGGTAACCAACTGAATACCAGAGAAATATGAGGATAGAATATATAGTCTCTTAAGGTATTTTACAAAAGTGCACAAGGGAGATAAGGTAAGATGGCTAGATGGCTACTTTGCAATTAAAATGCATCAAAACTCTGGAACATTTATTTAATTGGAATGAGGAAGAGAGTTACATTGGGTCGCTTTGGTATGTCCAAGTATGCTGGAACATGCTGTGAACATCAGCCCTGAAAACATCACTCTATTGTGTGTGCTTTTGGAAGGGGTGACTTTTTAAAAAAAATGCATTTTGAGTTGAGATTTATAAAACAAATCAATTTGTTATAATGACCAATGGTAAACATTGTATCCATGATTTAGAGGTAAACTATATAAAACAATTCAATCGTACAGTATTACGATCACGTATTCCATGGGGATTTTAAAAATTCGAGTGTATCTTTGCAATTGCAACAGATGAAAATTCATCTAGAGCTGATGGATGCTAACAAGAAGCGGTGCAGTGTACGTTAAGGCGGTTTAGTTGACCGTTGAAAAGGTACGAGATGGCTGTCATTGTGGGAATGCAATTCATTCATTCGATGTATTTAATTGGCTTGGTGCAAGTCTGTGACGGAAAGGCGTGTTACCACCACGCTCAACCAGAACAAAGACATTGGTGACTCAGGAATTCCAGCCAGCCGTCATCTGATAAAAGCTTTTTACTCAATGATCCCACGTCTGAAGCTGAGAATCAGGAAGAAGAGCAGTCCAAACGTATATTATATGATCTCAAAAAACATTATTAAATTGTACTGCTTGTCGCAAAATATCAAAACCGATTTTTTTTGGCAATGGGTATGGTGTTATTTGTTACCTGTGCATTGACCTTGATGCATTGAAATCTGCATGTCTTTTCCCATCTGAATCCTTTCATTAAAATCTCAAGTCACGCATAACCTAGAACTGTTGTTCTTAGCACATTTTTTAGGAAGGCAACTCGCTTCCGCGTCCAAGAACATTTAAGTTTAAGATCACGCGTCTTATTTTTTCTTATTTAATTCTCACTCGTAATATTCATTCATGCCATTAGATTTTTGAACCACACTCATTGGCATTTTATTAAATCATGAGACAAGAGAGAATGAGAAGCTTTCATGGGATTCTAATGAAAAGGACAAGGATGTGAACGCGAGATCGCTGGGAGCCATTATTCAATGGCAGCAGTTGTTAGGATTTTACTATTATAGCAACCAATCCATGGCATGTGCCCCTCCTATTCCGACCGTTTCAGTGTACTCGTCCAAAGGCTGCAGCCATTCTTATCAATCCTGTTATTATTCATTACTCCACATCTTAACTCAACCTTTTGTGTGTCAGCGAGAGCCACGTCATTCTAACTCTAATGCTGATGATGCAGATTCCCCCTCCCTCCCCGCCTTTACTCTCAAGCACGCCATGATGCAGCAGAAAACATGCAAAGTACACGTTTTTTTTCTCCTGCTGTGCTCGTCCAAAAGTATACACCAAACACCGTGTTGTGTTTTTAGTTTTAGTTTTAAGGCAGACCAATTTGATGGCTGCCCCCGAGCCCCCACCCCCCTTGTCAAGTCTAAACATTAAGTCTAAAAATATGTAAGAATTTTGATAAACTACACTGCCAGAATTGTCTCTTTGGATTTTCCAACAAAATAATAACGAATCTCTTATCAGCAAAGCACATCTCTCTTGTGGTAGCTCGCTGTTTGGCAAGCGCTTAGTTTCCTTAATATCCCCTTGCAACGTCATTCTCAGAGCAGCTCTGGCCGACCCATAAATGGGCTTTCTCTTTGTTTAAATTAAATCGCCTGCTAAGCCTTGGCACTCGAAGTGATATGCGAAGCGGGTACAGTAGTTCGTAGGTGGAAATGATAGATTTACTCCACCCACTACAGGCTTTGTGTGTGTATGTGTCAGGCCTCAGGCAATTGTGGAAGTTCACGGATGCCTGCTTTGCTGCCATTGTAACATACTGTACCTGACACAGTCTAAAATCCATTATATCTGTAAACAGTAAGAATAACCCAAAGATAAGTGCTGCCGACCAAGTCAAAGTACATGCATGTTGCATGGCATTGTGCTAATCATTAATAAACAGAAACGTCTGCAGTTTTCAAGGTCAAAGCTGCAGAAGGTTTTTTTTGGTTAAAACCTCATGCCCTACCCTTTTTACTGTACCCAATGACATCACCCTGCTCAGTATTCCACTGCTGTCAGTGCAGTTTCTTACAGTACTACTGGTTACAATGAATAAGTAATGACAGACACTAAGATATTAATAAAATGTCAGAAACTGTATTTGGCAATTTTAACAAGTGCATACAAGTACAACTAGAAGCATTCAGTTTTGCCAAGTGCTCTGAAAGCAACATTAGTCACAGCCTACAATAAACAGTTACTGCCACCAGAACTGAAGTACAAGAAAGATTTGCAAGTAAGATAACGATTTACATCAACAGAAGAGAAATGTTCATCATTATGAGTACATACCTTTATCTTCAAAAATATAGAAACACAATGTATTGAAAATCAAAATTTTACAGCCATGTTTACGAAGTTTACAGTTCCCTTGTCTTGAATATATACAGTTTATCAGTTTTGTTTTTTGGATTTCAAAAGAGTGACTTTTTTTTAATAAAAAATAATCAAGGGTCTCTCTCCTTCTTTACTTTGACATCTCCAGCAAGAATGGTGGCGATTTCGCCCTGCATGAAGGCCCACGGTACATTGGAGCCGACCAGAGGGCATTTCTCCCCACTGGGACAATACACCTCCCCAGTTGCACCTTGTTGCTTGATGCTTTCCCTTGAGCATGGGAAGCAGAATTTGTGTGAAGGTACTGATGGGCATTGTACAAAATGGGTATCCTCAAGACGCTCATGGCAAATTGTACAACAGAGTGGGATGTTGTTTGGTATAGAGGAGTCTGGAATGTTTGGTGGGTGTACTTGCTCCATACCTGGATGAGGGGCTCCAGCAGGCACCGGGGCAGCAATGTCTCTGGCGCCCATTCTCCTTTGGTTCACCGACGACGGAGAGAGTGGGCTGCTGCTGTTGCGTCTTGTGGTTGAGTGAACCTGATTGGCATCCTTTGGTGAGTGAACACTGCCTGCGTTGTCTGCCACCAAGATTAGAGCTGCCATTGGGGACTGTCCATTCTGTGCTGCTTCTGGTGGCGTGGTGCGGTTTGAATGGGGCGATGCTGTGGATGGTGGGGAAGCAAATGGTGTTGGAGTCATGTTAGTCATCTTCAAACCTTCAGCTGGTGATGGCAGCCACTGTTGTCCATCTCCGTTGACTTTGTTGGGGACTCCACCTTCCACTTCGGGCTCAGGGGATGCTTTCCTCTTTCGCACTCCTCGAGCACCTAGCAAAGTACGGGGGATATTACAAAATGCTGTTGGCAACAAAGGATAGCTAGTATCTAAACAGGGCTCTGGTAGCATTTCAGTCCCAATAACTTCTTTGAAGTAACGCACGTATTCTGGCAACAAATCACTTAGAAGACGCCAGTCTCCTGAACCTTGCTTCATTTCATACTCCAAGTATTTGAAACCAGAGGATAGCCCTCTGCCAAAGTCTCTCATGCAATCCTGACTCATCTGTTTTGTTACTTCTGAAGCACTTGTATAAACAATTGCAGACCCTCTAGGATATTCTATGAATACTCGTAACTCATAATCCATACCTGATTTTGCAGCAGCACCTGGGTTAGCATCAAATGCGAACACTCTCCCGTGCAACGAGTGGTCTTTCTTGAACCTCACATCAAAGGGTGCGTGGCTGGAGAGGGTCATTAGTGAGTCCCTGACCGTCTTGGGTTTGGTCACCCAGTCCTCGCCGCGGTTTTTCAAGCTCTCCCCCAGTTCGGGCAGACTGTCCGTGCGGTGCTTGTCCTTGATGTCTCGGTCGTGTTCGCTGCTGGAGACCGAGCCCGGCCGTTTGTTTACATCCGAGGCGATGGCCATCAGCTGGCCGGGCCGGCCGTTGACGCCGTGAGGCGGCGGGAGCGAGTGCGATGTCCCGTTCACCATAGGCACGAGGTTAGGAGGCGGTGCTGTGTGAGTTCTCCGTGAGTTCGGGCTCTGCCGGTTCAGCTCTGGGGGCTCGTCGGGTTTGGAGAATCCATTGGGGATAGTCATGCCGTTCTGCCTTCCAGGGGGGAACTCCAACCGGGGAGGCCGATCGGAGGCTAAGGGGTAGCGATCCAGCTGCTGCGGGGGTCGGGACGCTCCGTCCGCCGAGTGACCGAGCGACGATACCTCTTTGGAAAGTGCTTGGGCTTTGCCCGGAGTCGGACCAGGCGACCTGCCATCTTGGAAGCCGTGGGCTCTTTTCAGCTGGCGGGCAGTGTCTATCACAAACTCGATGCGGTCGGCGCCCTCGTAGTTAACACATCCTCTGCAGACAGGCTCTGTAAAATCCCAGATCATTGCCCACGGCATGCGAGGTAAGTCACACAGGTAGCACGACTGTCTCCTGGACGATGCAACCGCCGCGGACGACATAGCAGCGGCGACTATCCCGGGCTCTCCCTCTCTTCACTCTCTCTCTCCCTCTCTCTCTCTCGCTCGCTCGCTCTCTCTCTCTCGGCTTCGGGCTGCGCGCCTGTGTGCAAAAGGATGCGCGCCGTTGTGTGTGAAGTACTCCAGTTAGTAGCAACAAACAAACAAACAACAAACCCCCCCCTTCCCTCCCTCCCTTCCCCCCCCCCCCAACCCAAAAAAAATAAATGGTTTAGTAACTTACACGCACAAGTTCATGGCAGTGCTTTACTACATACAGCGCGCGCGCCCCTCTCTCCCTCTCTCTCTCTCTCCCTCTCGCGCTACTACTCGCTCGCCCCGGCCTGACGTCATCACTCACTCACTCACTCACTCCCGTCTCTCAAGTCCTGCCGATTCTTCGACAGACAGCTCCCCCCGCGCATGCGCCCCGCCCGGCCTCCCCGCCACCGCCCGCTTGCGCATGCGCTGCACACCCAACACTCACACACATATGCATACGCACACACACACACACACATACACTCCCCTCACACACACACACACCACACGGCCACAGCCCAACCCGCCCATGCGCCGCGGGGGCCCTCTCGTGTGACGTAGCGCGATTGTCCCTTTTTTTACTCCACACCCCCCCTCCCCTCTCCGCTCCCGCGTGGTCTCCAGCCCCCAGACTGGGCGGGTGGAGCACTGCGCATGTCAGCTGCGCCGCTCCCCGCCCCGCCCCGACACTCAGCCCCGAAGCGGCGGCTCAGTGTGTATGTGTGTGAGTGAGTGAGTGAGCGAGCGAGCGAGTGCGCGCGCGCGCGTGTCTCCCAAGTGCTCGCGGAGCCGCCTTCACTGACATTCCAGCGAGAATGCCAGCCCGAGCGGCGCCGACGTCACCGCCAACCGCCACCGCCGCAGCCATTCACTGCACAAACAGCAGCTGCTGAGAGGAGAGCGAGGAACAAAGGCTCAGGCGGAGAGCAACACACACACACACACCCCACACACAGCAGTGTTTGTGTAGCACAGGCACTCACTCACCTGCCCACACCCTGCCTGCCTTAAATGTTATGTACTTTTAGAGTATACGCACGTGTGTGTGTGTATATATATATATATAGAGAGAGAGAGAGGGGGAGATTTTATGTCTTCGGGATATAAAGGGAAGTCTTCCTGCCCGGTAGCGCGCAAACCCCAGAGCACCACATGGTTCTCGTTGGATTAATGATTCAGCGCAGCGCCCCCGAGAGCTGCTCTAAAATTAGAAGCGCGTCTCTGCAATGAATGGGACTTTCTCTTTTTTTTCATAAAAGGGAAGTGCACACGTGAATGTAACCTTTTGAGTGAAACGTGGGTCGCCTTCACAAAAGCGGCCTATTAACCAGAAAGAAGTAAAGTAGGGAAAAGGCGGCGGTGTGGGGGGGGGGGTGTGTGTGTGTGTGTGGACAGTTTAAAAAAACGCATTCACTTTTTCTTAACAAACGCCAGTTATTAACGCAAGAAAGAAAACAACGGGGTTATTGATGGGGATTATTGCTCAGACGAAAGCAACACCTATCGTGACACGGGCAGACAGTGCAGGGAGTTTCATTTGCAAACCAGGCAGATCGCTTATGGCTGCAGCAACACAGTTGGAAATTACACATCAACACTTGAGCTGTGTTTAAGCCGCGCTGACGTCGGCCCCGGATACAGTGCTCTCCTGTCGCTGGTGGAAATGTCACGGGAACCGCCGCCAACAAACGCTCAAAAGGGGGTCGAGTCCCCCCCGGGGTTTTGCGCCGCAAAGGGGGGCGTTTAAATTGCGCGTCTGTTTACAAATTCGAAACGAAACCTTTTGCATAACGTGTCTTCACGGAGAGTCCCAGATGTAAAGTTGTGTGTGCACACGGTTTACTTTCGGATTATAAATAGATGTAGGATTAAATCACCTTGGCTGTTGCTCACATTGTTAATATTTCGCTCCCCCCCCCCCGTAACCTTTCGGTGATACATTGGATACTATTCGAAACTTAAAAAGCTTTCATGACTTGTTTACACGGACTACAATATAACCAGAAAGCTGCACATGTTACAAACTAACAGGGCATAACAATGGACATTTACATTAAAAGGGCTTAAAATATAAACACGTTGCAAATAAATATGGATACTATCTGTTACTTTATTGGTGTTAACCACGAATTTAGCAAAAACGGATACAAACAAACGCGGTTTTCAAAGTTTGTTTTAAAGCATTCGGATACTTTCACGTTTTCCGAATGGATGTATTGATAGGAAATTGTTTGGATCTATTCTCGTTTTCCCTCAGCCCTCCCTCACTGCACACAGAGTTAACACGAGGCCAAAGTGGCGCTACAGAGACGGTTCACTTTCCCCTTTCCCCGAGAGAAAGGAACCAACGTATTAACCGATTTGAAGTTAAAACAAATGTTTTGTGCCAAACCCCGTTGCGTAATCCCCGTCCTGCCTTAATTCGGTTGAGTTTTACTTGGAATTGGTTAAAAAAGAAGGACTACCCCTAAACCCTTTTATTTGACAAAAAAAAACGATGGTGGAAAAAAAAATGCAACCGAGGTAAACCGGGGCAGACACGGGAATGTTTGTTGGGGGGGGAATGCTCTCCTCCCTTTCGTGTAAACGCGAATTAAAACGGTAAAACAAACAAACCCCTCAAAAAAAACAACAAGAAGAAGAAGATGACAACATGGCCGCCGCCGCCGCTCGTGTTTTTCCTGCCTCCAACGAGAGTTGAGCGGCTGCCAAGGAGGAGGGAGGAGGGAGGGCTGGCTCTTGCCTCCCAGAGTAGGCAGAGTTTAGGGTGAGGCAACGCCGTACGAAATTTGCAGAGACCCTTCCCCCCCCCCCACCAACCAAAAAAAAAAGCGCAACCCCCCACCCCCAGAAAATCGTAGCGATGTGGTGTGGGTGTGGGTGTGCGGTGCGTGTGATGAGTTATGAAAGAGGAAGTTGGACGCTTCTGACACGTACGCTGTGTGAGCCGAGGCCGCCCGGAGGTTGGCGAACAGCCCAGAGAGAGAGAGAGAGAGACACACACACACACACCCACTCCTCCTCCTCCTCACCCTCGTGCAAAAGTGCGGGGCTCACAGCCAAACCCACAGCAGCTGCAGCGCCCGTACGAGCATCGCAGGCGCTTTGCTTTTCTCTTTCGGGGTCGGGGGGGGGGGGGATGGAGGCCGTCCTTTTTTTGGGGGGGGGGGGGTGGGGAATTAAATAATAATGCACGCGAAAAAATATATAAATATGATAAAGCGAAAAAAAAACGAGGTCAGCGGGAGTGCAAATAAAAGACCACGCGGGGGTTTTTTTTTTGCTCTTCCGAAATGCTGATCGTTTCCATTGAGGTATATGAGTTTTTTTTCGGGTAGGAGGAGGGTGAGGAGGGAGGGAGGGGGGGGGTGAATTATGCTAAATAATTTAGTTACCACCATGCAACTATTGCAACTTTTCGAGACTTTTGCAGATGTGATTTCAGTAGGAAGTCACAGACACGCCACGTCCACTTCATTTCTCAGCTGTTCTCTCTGACACACGAGCCCACCCCCCCCCCCCACACACACACACACACAACAGGATTTTATCGTTCAGCGCTGTTTTTTTGCAGTGAAATATCCCCCAAGTCACGCTGACGTGTCTTTGGCACATGTAGACAGAGCTGCGGTAAACACAGTGCTGCTGCACAAGGCCAATAGGTTTTGACTGTGCCTTCAGCTCGACTCTCTGCCCCCTCCCTTCCCTCCCCTCACCCTGACCATTTCCCCCCTCCTCGCTCCCTCCCTTCCCTCCCCCTGACCATTTCCCCCCTCCCTTCCCTCCCCTCCCCTCACCCTGACCATTTCCCCCCTCCCTTCCCTCCCCTCACCCTGACCATCTCCCCCCTCCTCGCCCCCTCCCTTCCCTCCCCTCACCCTGACCATTTCCCCCCTCCTCGCTCCCTCCCTTCCCTCCCCTCACCCTGACCATTTCCCCCCTCCTCGCTCCCTTCCCTCCCCTCACCCTGACCATTTCCCCCCTCCTCGCTCCCTTCCCTCCCCTCACCCTGACCATTTCCCCCCCCTCGCTCCCTTCCCTCCCCTCACCCTGACCATTTCCCCCTCCTCGCTCCCTCCCTTCCCTCCCCTCACCCTGACCATTCCCCACCCCCCCCCCCCGATGCTCGGTCCTGACCTAAATGTACAGCGCCTCGGGACATCCTCCCGACGTGAAAGGCGCCCTATAAATAGAATCTGGTTGTTGTTGTAAAGGTCTCTGTGCATCGCGGTTCATTCGCCGTCAATATTTCTGATTCGATTTTTGCCTTGCGATTTGCCACCGGGAAATCATCGGAACTGATTTACCGCACGTTTTTATTTGAGACTCAATTGTGTTTTTTATTCTTACGGTTCATTGCTTTGAAACGCACGTGTTGTACAGTGCACATCCACGAGCTTCACCGATTGGGCAGAGAGAGAGAAAAAAAAACGAAATTGAGTTTGATTCCAACCATCATGGATGTGGCTGTGTTGTTTTGTTGGAAACAAGTGTTCAAACGATCACTGCTGAGTGTGGTATGCAAAATGGCATATTTCTTTCTGTCATGGAACCGCTGTCACTTCAGCAGTAAAGGAATAGCAGCATAGAGCAAAGGGGAGTTGCTGGCCTGAAGTGCTCATGAGGCACATGGGCATGAGTTTTAAAAGTAATCTCCTTGCAGTGAAGTGCGATGGGGAAAATAAACATGTTGTTTCTGTGGACAAGCAGTAATAAATGAACATCTCCCACTTTGTTCCTATACAGAGAATCTTATTATTAATAATAATTATTCTTGCATTTGATATGGCGCCTTATCACAACGCCGAGTGTTTCACAAGATATACTGTAAAGTGATGTCACTGTGTGTATTTTTGTGGGTGAATGAGGCAATCAATTTTCACACAGCATTGTCCCCCAATCAGCCATGAAGTGAATGACCATTTTATTTCAGGGGTTGTTGGCCAGGATACCCATAGAAACTCCCTTCTCTTTTCAAATAGTATCACAGGATCTTTAATGATCACCTGAACAGGTGTATGGGACCTTGGTTTAACATCTCATTTGAAGAGTTTGATAATGCAGCGGTACACCCACAGCACTGCATTAGTGTCAGCCTAGACCATGAACTTTGAGTCCCGACACAGGGCTCGAACCCACAAGCTTCAGACTCGGAGGAAGGT